GCCCCTCTCAGGCAGGCCTGACTCCCACACCCTGCTGGAAGCCAGGATCCGCCAGCACCTCCCCAGTCAGGCACACTGTGGCTTCTCCTGGTCTGTGACTGCTTGTGCAGAGTGCCAGCCTCTGGGGGCAGGGTGAGCCCTGCTTTTCTTTTGCTGCTCTCTTCCCAGGGCGAGAAGAGAGGAAGGCAAGAGAGAGGAAGAGAGGAGGGATGGGGGAGGCGGGCAACGTGGGGTGCAGAGAGGCACAGCCTGCTGGAACAGTCACTTAGCCGCCAGGACTGTCCGGGTTCCTCCCCGTCAGTCTGGAGTTCTCCATCCTGTGACTTCAGTGTCCTCTCAGAGGGGCGCCTGTGTCCTTCCTCCCGAGACCCTGCAGCTATCTAGGGTGGAACGCCACACACAGTGCGTGCCCCATGAATACGAGCCCGCCTCACGAGAGTAGAAAAGCCCCAGCTGGGCCAGGCAGAGGAACAGGACTGGCTGAGTGGCCAACTGCAGACAGGGGCTGGCACCCACATCTGATCACCATGGACCCTGAGGCTCATCTCTTGGTGCCAACTCCAGCCCCATTTCCCTGCCTGCAAAACAAACCTGGCATTCACATGCCACTTGATGTTTCCCTGCCTGCTATGGTAACTTCTATTTCCAAACGGAAAACCAGACACAGACCTGGCTTCGGCAGAGGATGTGATGCTGGACCTTCTATAAAGTCCTGAGCAGCTCTCTGGCTAGTCTCACACCCAAGGATGGAGGAGCAAGCAGAGAACAGAAGAGAGCGGGGTGGGAGCCACACGGGAGCGGATCGCACCTGCACAGCACTGCAGCTGGACTCCACCGCAGTCTGTATCCCAACGCAGGCTGCTACTCTGTCCAGTGTCTGCTCAGGTGTGGCAGAGTCCAGGGGTGCCCACGGCCCCTTCAGGATGTGTGGAAACACCCCTGCCACTTGGAACCCCAAACTCCTGCTTTCATTTTAGGTGATCGGAAACTGTACAGAGTAGCAGCCATCCATAGTTACCCAGTGCCTTAGATATGGTGTATGTGGGTACAGAAGCACGTGGGACCCCAGCAGCAATCCTACGAATAAAGGAACTAGAATTGTCACAACCAAACTGGTACACAGCATTTAAATAATGGACCCCCATTTACACTGGCAGCAGTGTAAAGCTGAAACTGAAACGTCTATCCACCACACTGCAGCGCGTACCCTTTCTATAGCAACATCTTTTGAAAATTAATGTGAAGATAAAGAATAAAAAGTGAAAGAAGTCAACTAAGAACTGTTGCATCACTTGTTTAAGTACCTGGAACATCACTGCATACCTCAGGTGCAAAGTCACCAAATGGCCAGGAACAGATGCCAGATCTCCCCAAACCTTCCTCAGACGCTTTCTGCACTGCTCCCTGAGAAGGCTGCAGCCTTAGCCCAGAGAGCGCCAGGCCTTGCACGTGGGCGGGTCAGCGGCCCCACCGCAGCCGGCCTGCTCCGCAGGCTGTCCGGCGCACGCTGCCCAGCCTGGGGTCTCAAAGGCCCCTTCCACACCCGTGGGCAGTCGGGGCTGTCCGGAGTCCACAGCCGCTTCATTCTAGTCAATCAGTAGACAAAGGAGGCTCCAGGCTTCCATAACAGGAACCAACAGCTCCAAGACAACACTCCAATGGCAGAGTGCCCCCAAGGTCAGCATCCCACGGGACAGATGTGCCTGGTGGAGGGCAGGCAAGGGGTGGCCACTGCAGCACTCCAGTCAGTGGAGCCCTACGTCAGGACGATGCACCAGCATTCTCTGGACTTCTCCACAGATTTGCTTTCTTGGAAGTCTCTCCACAGGACTGTGGGTTAAGATGGGCCCGTCCCATCTCCTGCTAGGACGACGGACACTGAGGCAGGGAGGGCGCTGCTGGGAATGCAGGAGCAACACTTTCCCTGCTCTTTTTGCTGGCTTTATCCTCAACACTGGGACTGGGGAGGGGCCTGGAAGCCCACAACCTGAGCCCGCTGTGCAGACCTCAGTGCTGCCTGGGGCCTGGGCAGCGGGATCCGAGCAGCTCCTGCTGCAGCAGAGCAGTGCACTGGAGTCTGGGCAAAGGGCGCTCGGGAACAAGGGAGGGAACCAGCTGGAGCAGCTCTGTGTGCTCACAGCAGTGGCACAGGATCTGGGCATGGGCTGCGGCCACTTCTCAGTGACTTTCCACCTTGAAACCTGGTAGCACAGCAACCACCATCTCAACGGCCCTGCCCGGCTCCTTCCCTCTGCCAACCTTCATGCCTGTGCCAAGCCAGGGGACAACACAACGCTAAGGGTTACGTCCCCTTACCTCCCACTGGGCGCCTGAGCTCTGAGGAATGGAAGTACCCGGCAGAGCTCCCGCCCACACTCTGCCCCACCTTCCTCCAGCAGTGTACCTGTGCCAGCACTGCCCTGAAGCAGGACGCTGAGCCCCTGCTCCACCCAGGTCCCACACTGCCAGACCTCACTCACCCGGGGACCCAGGCAAATGGCTGGTCTCCACGAAGCTGTCTGTTCCTCAGGTGCCACTGAAATTCCACTACTTTGGCCTCTGGCAATGACAGAATTTTCTTTGCCTTTTTCCATATATTCACTGATTACCACCTTGTATTTCAGAAACATGTATATAAATCTTAAATTTAAGACTTAAATCTTAAATCTTAATATGTAAAAGAAAGGCTATATCTGGCTTATCTCCACATTGTTCAGATCCCTCGGACTCGTTAGATAAATGTTACTTAAATGGAGCAGCAGAGCAGGGGAGCCCCTGAGCTACATGCATCCCACTGCAACCTGGTGCAATGCCCCAGGGGTACTGTAGGGGGGGATGCTTGCTGAGCATTAGGTAATGCAGAACCCCAAGAGTAAAGGTGGGTAGGCATGTTCAGAAGTGACAGTACATGGAACGGCTATCATTACTACATGAAACAGCTCCTCTAGAAACGAACACATTCACCCTACTGGCCAAGACACTGACCCATAAAGAACAAACTTTTAAAGTTATCAAGTCAATGAAAGAAAACCAGTGAAGGCTCAGTGAAGCAGGAATAAGACTGGCTTGAGACCTTAGACAAAGATTAACTTCCCTCAACCTCAGTCCTCTGCCTTTTACAATGAACGGCGTAAGAACTGATTGAAATGTATGCATGTGTAAGTACTCCGTATAATCCCTGGAGAATACAGGCGTACTCAACACAGAGAAGCTATTATTGGCTAAACCATGTTTCCAACGCTACTACACACCTTACGTAGAGGCCTGAGTAACCCTGTACACAAAACTGTTTCTCTAGGCCTCGGTTTCCTCCAAAACACAAGTTCGGCCGAATGGCCCCACCTTCTCACCAATGACGCCGTTCGTGCTACCAGCAAGAACCTTCCTGAGCCGCATGGGGTGGCACACCTGAGGTCCAGGCGGGAGGGCTGCAGCGTCAGGACCAGCCCAGACACTTTAGTGACTTGGCGCCACTGTCTCGAAATGAGAAATAAGGGCTGGGGACGGGGCTCAGTGCAAAGGCCCGGGGTTCAACCCCCAGTCCCGGGGAGAGAGGGGACTTCTGGAAAGTATAAAATGGCTCATCACACTATCAAAGTGCAACATGGAGCTCTACTGTTAGGGTCAGGGGCACAGCAAGAAAGCAGACAGGGTCTTTTATGCTGTGCTTTGGTGAAGAAGTCCCTGAACGATTTTAAGCAGTTGAACAGAAACAGAGAACTGCATTTTAGACAAACATTAACAGCATGCCTGCAAACGCCATCTGAGAATTCCACATTTAATTTCTGTTCTGCACACTGTTCCTTACTAATCAACAAATGGAAGCCATTATTAAACTAATCCAAAGGGTAAGGAAACCCCATCCTTACAGGCAGATTCTGAGTCTGTGCTTCCACCTCCTTCAGAGGTTCATTCTGGGCCCAGCTCTATGACTTAACCCAGGGGTTTGTGTTGCTTGCTTTCCAGAAGGAAATAACCATTCCAACTGAACATTTTCACAACTGGGCCAATAAAACAAATATTCACGGCAGCTGAGTTTCCACAACATGTATTGTTGGCAGGACACAGGCACATTTCTACATCAAACACAAAACTGAAAACCTAACCCTGTAAGACTGAAAAATCATTTTAGAGATTATGCTAATTTTCACGTTTACCTAAATATTAAAAATCAAATCGTACCTAGAAGCACTAATACTTGAATATTTTTAAAAACAGTCATTCATTACATGGCAATATATTCGGTTTACAGGTGTACTATAATCAGTAAATGCTAAAGAATTAAACTTCCGAACTGCTGCAAGAACTCAGGGAAAGTTCAAAGTATTCCAAGGTGTTCCTTCAGGGAATCTATTTCTAGGGCTGCCTCAAAGAGGTCCTAGGAGCCTCTGGCAAGTCCTTGAGAAACCATAGCTTAAGGCTGGCAAACCGCAGCCCTAAGCCAGCCTGAAA